AATACTTAACTAATTAAAATTAAACTATTAATTGATATTTTTAAATATTTTAATTATTTATTTAAAAAATAAAATAAAATTTATGTTGCTTTTAACACTTAGTGGGGTTAGGGATGTCAACGGGCCCCGTGGGACCAAGGAGGCCCTCCCCATCCTCGTCCACGCGAATGACGGGGACGGAAATCTTCGTGAGGATTTTTGACAGAGGGTAAATTTTACCCCCATCCCCATTTCCTGCGGGGATCCCCATTCCCCGCAGGGAACGGGGATTCCCGCGGGGATCCTCGTTCCCCACTAATTAATATCTAAATATACATTTTTTATATCAAATATAATCAAAATCACAGCAAAATCAACTTCGACTTTGACTTTGAGTAGTAGCAGCAGTGGCGCAGCAGCAGCGTGGCAAAGCAGTGGCGCAGCCGTGGCGGGGCAGTGGTGCAACAGTGGCACAATAGCAGCAGCATGGCGCAGACAGATTTGGTTCAGCAACAGTAGTCTAGACTCCAGTTCCAGGCAGAAGGGTGAGATGTGAAATAGAGAAGGAAATAAGGGTGGCAATGAAAGGATTGAGGGATTTAGGGTTTGAGATTTGTAGGAAGGGCCAAAAGGGAAGGTGAAAGATGACTTAAGTGAAAGTGAGTGTGTGTGTGTGAGAGTCGAAGGGTGAGAGGCAGGGGCAGTCACTGCAGAAATGGAGAAACAAATAAGGTTGCCTAGGGTTAAAAGGATGCTTAGGGTTACAAAGATTGGGTTGGGCTTTGAGTTCGGCTTTGGGGTGGGTTAAATTTTATTGAATTGGGTTGGGTTTTAAAATTATATTAAATTTAAAATGAAATTAATTTTTTTTTTAATTTTTCGCGGGGATGGGGATCCCTGCGAGGAGAGGAAAATTCCCTGCAAAATTTCACCAGGGGAAAATGCCCCCCGTCCCCGCCCTATGGGGAGGAATATTCTTCCCCGCTCTATCCTCGTGGCGGGGATCCCCACGGGGCCCCATGGGGATCGGGGCAAATTGCCATCCCTAAGTGGGTTGTAGTCCACCAATTACTTTTCTGTGTTTTTTATTTTTTT